CAGGAATTGTTAAGCATTTTTAATAAATACATTTTAAATGAAATTATCATTTGTTATTGGAGTTATTGCAGATTGTAGGATTACGTAGGCCTATGTTTAGTGAGTGCATGCCACAGACATCGCTATGCATGGGAACTGTTTGACTCTCAAAATGGTATCGGTGCCCTATTTGTTGGTACTCACCGATACCATTATAGTGCTAGATCTGCTAGTAAAAAATGAGCACTGAGAGTTGATATGCAAGAAAGAAAACGTTTTATTTGACTCTGCAGAGGAGAACTACACGAGACAGCTGCGTACAGCTCCCAGTGTAGCTCTGACTAGGTCCTGCCCACCCTTGCATTATAAAGACCTCTTACACACGAACATTGAGTCTTCCCAACAGAAACACCTCATCAAAGGACGTAAATTTGTTCAGATAAACTGTTTTCCGTTCACGCCAGAAACAGGACGGGAGAACGATAAGAGCATAAGTTTTAACCATAGCATGAAGGAGGCTTTGTGAACTCATTATTTCTAATGACCTTCCCCTCAACCTTATCTAGAGTAGGGAGGGGAGGCACCTGCTTTCTGTCCCCCTAAACTGTATAGCATAGTGAATGGTACAGAATTTCTCTATTATTACTTCTGTTCAAACATTTTATCACATAAAGCAGGCCAAGGAAAAACCTTGATTCCACAGGTACTTTATGGATAAATATAAAAAGAAATGACAGAAGTAGAACTTTAATTAGTCTTAATGCAAATAATTAAAATTCCTAAAACAAGAGGCTCTATGTCTCACATGTTAAAGCTTACTTTTGGTTGCATCCTCTCCTTGCCTATGATGAACTGAGCATGACCTCCTCCCTCTCTGGCCATCCCATAGATAAGCTCAGAGCTGGCACCTTCTCCAATCCCAAAAGAGAAACACCTGGAATAAAGACAGATGCACTTTGGAAACTTGCTGATTCACTCAGTGCTCAAAATAATCCAAAGGTACGGCCTGGTTTCAGTTATCTTACCTGTGAAATTCAGAGTTTTTCTTCACCTCATCCACAACAGATTTTGTGCAACACACCTCACCATCCGTGAAGATGAACAGCTGAAGATACAGTAAAGAGGAATGTATTTTTTAGTGACATAAAGACTTAATCTTAGTGATTTCTGTATCAGTGACGCAGGCAAATCAAAGACTGTTATGGACGCTGAACAAAGCGGATCTCTGCTCTCCAGACTGAACCCACAGAGGAATGGTTTTATTGGACCAGAAAGCCCTTTAGCACAGCTGCACAAAAGTGATCAACCAAAGACACCTTCAGAACCAGCTGGTCTGCATCTGGAGAGAAAAAAACTAAGAACAAACCTCTGCAGTGGAGGACTTTATACAAACCTCCAATTAAAAAACAAACTGGTGATCTCCAATGGAGGATTTTACACAGCGCCGTCGCCACAAACTCGTCTTTATCCGTTATTAATCGGGGTGTTTTAAACGAGCGTCGTTTCTGCTGTCTATCTGAAAACGTGTTCCACGTTTTTATGGAATGAACAAAATTAAAGACAATTTCTAGCCTTTTAGGGTAATTTAGACAGAACAGAAAAAAAAAACAAGCCGATGGCCGACCTTTATATTTTTTTAAATCAGTGAAACAAAGATGGCCGTTTACCTGTCCCTCAGAGACAGACTGCAGGAGGAATCTCACCTTGATGCAGTGGCTCTGTGGAAGTGCAACGTTAAAGCCAGAATAAGGCTGGAGTTTCGCTTCCACTGAGCCACCAGAGGCGTAGCCAGAACATTTTTATAAGGGGGCCAGGCAGAGATGGCAAAAGTACTCACTTTCCGTACTTGAGTAAAAGTACAGATACTTGTGTT